CGTTGGGTCGATAAGTTCGTACTAGACCTGTCTGGGAGGACAACAGCATAACTCCACTGATCGGTAGGCCACCACCGAGTCAGTTTGTTGGCCGGATATGCATTCAGTCAACAACAGCGGTGCTTAATGAAGTCTAATGCATGGGAAATCCTTCAAGGATTGATCATCTCCGAAGACTTTGTTTTTCCTTTATCCAAATGGTAGGCTACAAAAATTTTAGAACGTTCTTTCCACTTTCTAAAAAGTGATCTCTCTAAACACAGTTTTTAGAAGTGTGTAAAGAAAATATTCCCCCTTCCTTACAAAAATTCTATGACAAAAACGACATATCTTTCACGCTCGCCGATTTCCATGCCAGACAATTCCCATCCATCAATCATCAACTGTTATCCGATACCGTATACCTTGCGACAACGGCGGCGGCGGCGGCGGTATGGCGCGCGAAGGACGCCCCAAGCGGCTTAATTCGCTCCGACGACAATGGAAAAAAGCCGCTACCGTAATCGAATTCACAACGGTACACTTAGAGACTCAAGTGGTCATAGCTAATTTTTATCACATAGCTTATGCCGCTCTATGTCACTTGCAAAATTTTACTTTTGGAAGAGGTCCTTAATGAGCGTTTCTCTGGTTTGTTTGGTTCCTTCGCATTTCTTTCCTCCATTCTGGATAACTAAGTAATTATTAGATTTTTTATGTTTGCTTGGTTGTTTGCTTTACATGTTCACGTAATTATTTGTCATCATTTAACGGTCAACTGTGGAGCGAAGAGCTTAGTATAACGAGAAGAAATCGAATGAGATATGTGTAACTACACGAAGCTTAAAAAGCTTCGAAAAACTTGGGGAAGACCACATGCTCTAAAAAAAAACCTTGGAATAAGAAAAGTTTGGGTATGGTGCTTGGATCTGGAAATTCTAGCAAAATTGATTTGAGAAAAGCATGGCCTCTTTTCTTCATTCTAAAAAAGTGGAAAGAGATACTGGAAATGTGTGTTTTAGTAGAATTGGCTTTTCCCTCTATTCTATTTCACACCAACATCAGATGATTCCATGAGAGCATCAGCGACTCTCTTTAATGTTCTACCGCTCAAGGGAAAATGACTAGTTGTTTTGTCACGCTTCCAGAAATCAACGATATCATTCACCCAAGATATCCAAGGTTCGGTTTGCTTTGAAACCCATCAGAGGTCAAATCCAACTCTACAGGGATTGGGTAAACTTTTCTGTAGTGCTTGCAGTATCAAAGATTTTTATTGTCAGTAACTGTAGACTTCCACAATGCTTTGATAATCGAACCTTTAAGCTAATTAGTCCTAAGCTGAAAGAGTAGCTCACACTTTATCACCTAAGTCTCCTACTATTCGGAGACTTCTTGACTTATAGTTTTTATAATAGTTGAACCGGTTTCATCTCCTAAATCTGCGCTGATGTCTGGTTATACTTATGAACAGCTCATTAAGCATCCCGAGTTGATTGGCTCTTTCGTCGAAGGTGGTCCTGAATTGCCTACCATGTATTGAATTCCATCCCTGAGTTTTTTGTTTTCCACTCATCGCTGAGTCCATTTGTGCTCAGTGCAACAAAAAATCGTTTTTACTCTTGCTCAATAACTTAATCAAATGGTTACAGTCGAAAAAAGTTTCTGAGGCTTTGTCTATTCAAGCTCAAGAGTTAGGTAACTAAACAGCTAACAGGTTTCGAAAACTCATTAAAACTGGCATTCCACCAGCATTAATTTGTTCGGTCTAAAACATTCTTCTGTAGCGATGCTGTCGCAAAAACTAGTCGCACATCTGTGTTTATCAACTAAGTTATCATTGCGCCACAGCTCTTGACCTTGGCGTTATGTAAATGCACATCCTCGGCTGCCGGCTTTTCTGCTTGGGACCCAGTTCGAAACGCCGGTTCTGACAGTGTTCAAGGCGGAAACACTTTATGTCGGAAATGAAAAAAGTTTTGGCTACGAATGGTTGATCGTCGCTATGTGGACAGAAAAATCCGTTGTAATGAAAACACGAAGAAAAATTCGGTCTTTGAAGTATTCAAAATCCAGATCGCCTTTGGACAAGAAATGTGGGCGTGTGTGGCACAGTGGTCGGAGGTGCCCTGCAAAACACTCGTGGAATCGATTCCAGCGCCCATGGCCAACCAATCCTTCCATCCTTCAGAGGTCGGTAAATTAGTACCAGACTTGTCTGGGAGGATAGCAGCACTGGCTCGATACATCGGTAGGCCACCGCGAGTCATTGTAAAGGTCAGATATGCCTTCGATCTCCTCTAACGATACTCAATGAAGTCGAATGCATGGCGCGTCCCTCAAGGATCGATCAACGCTGAGAGCCTTATCATTTTTATCCTGTATACAAGGAAACTACAAAACCATTTAAAAGTGAAAGAGGTGATACGCTTCTGACTGGGCAAGAATTTTCAAAATGATAGGATCAAGGAAAGGGGTGCACACTAGATACAGCTGTTTATAGTGATTCGTAAAATTAGGCACCTTTAAAGGTTCGGGTAGTTAAATAGTTTTCCTATCATTTCAATAGACTCTGACAACATTATGGCCACATTTGGTTCACGACCATTCCAGTGGGTCTGTGTTTACATGGTGAACATTCTATAAGATTATTAAGAGAACTGTACAAAAACTTCGCAGCCAAGGCATCACCATTCCACAACGGTATTAACGTTGACGTCAAAAGAGAAGTTAAGCAAGGAGATAGTATTTCGCCAAAGTAATTTATCGCCACCCTCCAGAACGTCATGCGAACATTGGAATGGGATAATTTGGGAGTGAAAATCGACGGCCGGCAGTTACACCATCTTCGCTTTGCTGATAACATCGCCCTTATAACATCAAACATTATCCAAACGGAACGTATACTTGACGACTTTGATAAAGCCTGTGGAAAGGTTGGTCTTCGATTAAATCTCACAAAAACGATGTTCATAAATAACGAATTGGTTTCGCATGCTCTATTCACGCTCAACGAAACGAATGTCTCCGAATGCCTCAGTTATATCCATCTAGTCTGGGTAATCAATGTGATGCTCCAAAACTGAGCAGAAGGATGCGAGCGGCTTGGGGAGTTTCCAAGAGCATCAAGGTTGTAGTGAAGAGGACAAAGAACGCACGACTCCGTGCCCACCACTTCGACTCAACGGTACTTCCTGCCCTAACGTATACGTCAGAAACCTGGTCGCTGCGTAAGCAGGATGAAAGGTCACTCAGCGTTATCGAACGCGCAGTCGAAAGGACGATGCTAGTAGTATCCCGTTTCACACAAGTGAGGGATGGGATCCGAAACTCTGACCTGCGTCAACGATCAAAAATCAAAGATGCCGTTCTCTACGCCAAACAGTCGAAGATAAGGTGGGTCGACACGTTATGCGTACGAATGACAACCGATGGGCAGGAGCCGTTAGTAACTGGATTCCCCGGGATATCAAAGGTATTACAGGAAGACCACCGACCCGATGCTCAGAGTTTTTCTCGAAAAGCGTAGAAGAAAGATACGATGCTCAACAAGTCCCTAATGCGAGAAGAATCCACTAGGCTACTCTTGCACGCGAAAGCGAAAAATGGAAGATTTACTGGCGCCCGCTAGAATCACTCGACGATCAACGGGTCTACAAGTGATACAGGTGTTTAAGAGAACACAAAGTTGGCATCAAATTCTATTCGGTTAACGTTTCGATGTTTTCGCCTTCTTCATAGCCACGGTGACGCGGTGATTCGAGTCGATGATACGCAGTCTTTCGCCCTCGCATTATGAGTCTTCGTGATCGCACCTAGTCCAGTCCAGTCGAGCACCGCTCGAATCAAGTTTTCTGACATTTTTTAGGACCTTTTTTACAAAGTGGATTAAAAATATATTTACATAATGCTGAGATGTTTGTAAAACTGAGACAACAAGCCAGATTCGAACCTGGGATCAACCTTTCTGGGGATCGCGTACTACCCACTGCACCACTGAGACCCCCGCTTTGACTTTCTCCAAGCTAGTTTCTTATTATAACAGTGCCAATGCTTCTATGTATGTGTTCCATAATAGGATGTTTACCATCTGACCTCTAAGTAGGTTCAGCCGCGTTCGAATCACCACGACCACGTTTGTCTTCTATGACGCAATGGCGGGTGGTTTTGTGGTGTGAGGTGATGCCATTCGATCAACCGCTACCATCAGCATTGTATTCACCTCGGTTGACCTCTGGTATGGGGCGGAGCTTGGAGGTCAGCAGCCTGTTGCGCACACCGCCATCACCGCCGCCTGCTGCTTAACACACACACTCACACACACACACACATACACACTCCACTCCCAACGGAGTTCGTCACCGTCGTTGACCTTAGGGTCAGGTCGTCCAGCTTATCTGCTGCTCCAGCTGTGTAGCAGAAAATATTCTGTTCCTTAAACATTTACTTTTTAGAGCAGTTCCTACCATATAGTTACGAGCATCACCATTTCTTAACACCAAGGCAGATGATGCGAGATGTCTATGGGATTTCATCACGTTAACTCCCGTGTTTTACTTGCAGTCTGCACAATCCCTGTAATATGCGATAGAGTTGTTCAATGAGTTCTTGTCTCGAAAAAGAAGAGAAAACGTTTGACCATTTCTTTTTTATTTACTCCCTACTATTTTTTTATGGAATGGCAGAGAAAGAAAAAGATACACAGTCTTTTCTGGTTAAGGTTTCCGTGCATGAAACTCAATAGGTTACGAAAATTTTTTCCATTTAGAGAAATCCAGGTCGCCTCCCATCATTCTTGCAAATTATTGTTTTTCCACCGCTTATTTTTGTCAAAATATAACCTTCGTATTGCGAAGTGGTCATTTAAATTAAGTTCATACTTGCCAGCACATTTGTTACTTTTTCCTCCGGACGACTTCATTTAGTTGCTTACCTCGTACTATAAATGTAGTGGTACTGAAATACAAGTGATCTGAAGGGAACATGCGGTCTGAACAGGTTCTTTAGATCTGAGTTCTTAGATGGATCTGCACGGCACGCTGTCAGCGCTGATGCGTCCGCTGGCAGCCATACCGCCGTCGACGTTTCCACTCACCTCCTTCCTTCAACATCCGTTAATGTCGTCGTTAGCGTTTCCGCTGAACGCCGCGAATCATCTGGATCCGACATTATTCGATATCACCGTCACTGCCGAATCACAATCAACTGTGACACCGAAGAAAACCCGACTCGATTCACCTAGTAGTCCGTTATCACAGAGCAGTACTGTATCGTCTACACAGGTAGCATTTAGGGATTGCAATATTTCAGCTCTTATTTCATTCAACTCCACTGATTATTCTTTTTCCATGGCAAAGTATTATGCGAAATAAAGCCGTAAGGATGCCGAGATATGAATAGAAGTCAGAACCTCAGACGTGCATCAAATCCACGATTACTCTTTCTGTGGACTCATGTGTTATACAGTGCACGTGAGCCTCCGGAAAGGGTAATCGTGGGTTCAAAGCGCACCTGACATTCCGAATTTCTTTCATATCTCAGCATCCTTATAGTTGTATTAGGGAACACCTCGAAGAGAAATGCAAAAAATCCACTGAAAACTTCGCTGCCTTAAAGTTAAATAGAATAAGCATGAAATTTGATAGAGATCATAGACGGGGCTCATTCTCTATAGCCATTTCAGCTCTCAAGTCCACTGCCTTCACCGGTCCGAAAGCTTGCCAAACCGATTCCAGATGAGAAAAAGGTGAGCACACTGTGAGATTTTTCTTCTAATTTCATTTTAACACGTAGCACTTCATCCTAAAACCAGCGATATCACAGGTTTGTGTATCAGCAACGCGCCGATTTGTAAAAAATGGTGAGAAAAGACGCTTTAAAAAACGAGAGAAAATATTGATTTTGAGAAAACACTTAATCTCAAGTTTCACTGGATCCGTGGACATATTTAGCACGAATAAATAGAGAAAATATCTAACACAGAAACCGACGATTTGTCCATGGCACTACTTTTAAGCTAGTCGTCGTCGCTTCATCATTGCTCTAGAGCTCGATAAGCTAAAAACCCTGAGGAGTGTTTCCACTGCACGATTCCAGAACGGCGAGGTGCTAAATCCCAGGCATTGTTGCGTTTTTGGTGACCAACTGTTACGCTGCCCAGTGTGTCATCCTTATACAACTGGTCGTTGGTAATTACCGGTCGGCTATTCTAATCCGTCAGAATAACCGAAAAACGAGAGGTCATCGTGGGGCATAGACGCTCAGGCCGACGAATTGGTCAGTGGAATGCTTGCTAACCGTTGAGAATGTTACTCACATTACTTCAGATGGTATGTTTAATATTTCTAATGAAATCATTATCAATTCGTCCTTTAAATGGCTAACGAAATCACTACTAACCCGTCCTTTAAATGGACGCACCAACATTACTGCAGTTCGAGGTGTTCTTGATGATTGATAATTTACTAGTCTAAATGGCTTAGATCGTACTGCCCTCTCTCGTGTTTTCCTTTTCTTTCTTTTCTATTCTTTGTTTTATTCTTCTTTTACGTCATCTAAATAGATTTCTTTAATTTGGAGAATACTTCAAAGAAAAAATCAATTGTTGTAGAATTTTCCTTAAAAAGCGTAAAGCTGTTTGTGACGATTATTTTCTAAAATATTTTTTTTAACTCTAAAGCACAGCAAAGACATTTCTTTAATAGATCAAACTTATTCACTTTCCTAGCTTTATTTTTACAATTCACAAAAAGTGATTTTAATAATTATCAGCAACTAAGGATAGCGCTTGATACTTGATACTTGAACGGCACGTACTCACTAGTTGTGCGGGTCCCAGCATAATCACCATTTTTCGAGGATTTGCTGGTTTAGCCATTGTGGTTCCCTGGAATCCTGAGGACAGCCCGGCCAAAGTCTGCCTCAGGTCTTCACCACCACAGGTAGTTGCAGCTCTTGTGGATCAGAGAGAGATTTGCCACTATGCGACTCTAGTACCAGAACGATGGTGGATCTTGGTATTGGTTTACTCCTGGCAAGGCTTCCTGATGGAAACGCCGGACTCGTTCTCAGCTTGGGAGACCCTGCCGGGAGGACGAATCCCTCCATTGTGAATCGCAGTCGGACACCCAGGAACACCTCCTAGTCACGATGAGGCGGTAAACCGTTGGGAGGAAATGAGGATAATAGTAAACGAATAGAGGATAAAGGACTAAAAGAATTTTAAGAAATATTAGAAATAAACTGAAAATAAGAAGAAAAAATAAGGAAGTTCAATGATAGGATTGCAGCGACTCTGAAGAAGAAAAACATAGAGTAAAGGAGAATTAACTTCATTAGTTGTATTTTCGAAGCATTTTAAAGAATAAAAAGAATTAATTACAAATGAGCAAAATGTACGACGAGCTCAATGACTTGAACTTCTGTAAATTCGAACTTCATCTTTTAACCACGCATAAGGCTTAGCGATTCATCGCCATACCCACTGGAAAAGAAGTGGTCCACTACGGTTCACAGCGATTCCCGTTCGAAATTCTCACATCATTTACATTCAGCGGAACTGGTAAGACACCAAAACGACACCTCAGACAATGAGAGCTTTTTCGAAAAAAAACTACTATCACAGCAGTTCCAGCGATTCTATGCAGATCATGAAATAAGTATAGAAGCTGGAAAAATTATTATCCTTCAGGTTTTTCTAGTATCGTTGCATAAAAATGAGATTGCCAGTGCTTTGCATACGGTCGCTTATCGATGGGTGTAGGGTTCAATCATACTAACACCTACCGTAATCGCTGAAATACTACTGCACAGCGACGGCTGACCTCGTCGTTGATTCCTTTGTGAGAGAACGGCGCAACTGCTTACATAGGTGAGGTCACCGTTAGTACAATGAGAGGAAAAAATGAGCGAACGACAATCGACAACTGTTGGTCGTCGTTTGGCGCACGAATGGTTAGATGATCACTAGCAGGTGAATCGTTGAAAAGCTAATGAAACGTCTGTTTTGATGACAGCTGAAAGACGGTGATAAGGCAATAAGATACCTGTTATGGTAAGGTTAAATGCAATTTGGTTCGTGAGTTAGTCGATAACAGAGACTTTTTACTTTAGTTTAAGATGCGAGTGCCAATTTAGAAACAATGAAACTTCGGCTGGTGTAAGGCCAAAAGGTTCAAAAACTCTTTGTAGAAGTTGGTTGACATCAAGATATTGTTTTATCGAACAGGTTATAAAAGCAGTAATCGAGAGGACTTAAATATTGTATAACGACTTGTCTAAATACTAGGTTGAGCCAACTCAATATCAAGCTTGTGAAAGAAAATGCACGAAGCCAATGAAGTACTCAGACACTCAGATAACCTATTTTGAAGAATCTTGAGTTATCCAACAGAATTCTCATTCACTTGTTGGTACTGCTTTCCTCATTACGACTTTTCCTTGTATCCTGGTAGAGGACTGTGTTATGATGACCGTTCATTTTCATCACTCAGCCATAATATTCTATGAAACCTGACAGCATTTACAATAAATCATGATGATTGACTGTTCTGAACTTCTCTGCTGGAACATTTTCCATTGTAGAGCGTGTTTTAACTATTCTCATGGTAAAGATCTTATAGAGGTAGGAGCAAAGAGAAAATAACTTGCAAAAGGTAAAAAGAGCTTCAAAAGAATGAAGGCTGCAATTTGGAAAGCGAAAGGGTTATATCTGACACCTGAAAATGGCATCAAATCCGGGAAATTCCAGGATGAAGCCTATTATGAACGACGACGACGCAACAACGATGCAGCGAAGAGATCGCGTGATGCTCGTCGCATCAAAGAAGAAGCGATCGCAGCACGTGCAGCACAGCTGGAACGAGAGAACGGTCAACTACGAGCACAGGTTAAGTCATCCTGGTCTCAAATGCTTTTCATCTTTTCATAAAGTCATTCTGTAATAGTAACATTGAAATCTCGCCAAGATTACTGTAAAGGGAGCTTTCATCCCTCTGTGAAATCTCCAATGCTTAGCAAAAATTCGAGGTTTTCATCATTAGATTCCCAGCTAGGAGAAAACCTTTGCAACGTCAGTGTCTGGCGAACTTCTATTGCTAGCCGACTCACCAAATGCAATGAAAAATGGGGTAGTGCCCAAAAACTTACTTTCTTTCTCTTCGTTGCTCCACTCTGGTACGTGGTTCAGACAAATGGGGTTTACTGGTGTCCATTCGAGTTATTATTGTGAATAAAGGTGCGACAAACGATGTAAGCGGTAAATTTTTTATTAGCTATACGAAACCACCTAGGAAGCAGAAACAGCGAGAGGTTCATCTTTAAGGAAAAATCATTAAACCTCTTAGAGCAAACAGACGGCTAGACTGGTTCGTTCATAACTATGTATATAACACAATCATTGAAATGTATCGCATATTTACTTAAATCAATAATCGATTTTTTGTTAAGCGATGACATTACTGCAATAAAAAGGCAGATAAATTTGCTACACAGGCGATGAATTTACAAATATTTATCCTCTTACTTGGACATATCTACGTTATTAGCTACGTGCTAACCTTGGCCTTCAGTTTTTTAAAGAGAAGTTTACTTTCTTCAGGTTGCTATTCTAAAGTCTGAAACCGCTCGTCTTCAACTGATGCTGTTCTCACAACGACAAAGTCTAGCCAGCGACACAAAAAAAGAAACAAAAGCTGAATCGATGATTGTCGACACACTTCTGGAGAATACTGCTACCTCCACTACCGTACTCCAAAGTGATATTGAAATAAAACCATAAAGTCCGTAGAAAAAACTACAATTTTGAGTTGCCGTTACCTTATCAGTCCTCTCACATTCTAGGGTGTACATTTTACTGTTTTCCTCTATTTGTGTGCTTTATGTTATTTCTATATTTTTAAAGTTTCATAGATCGCTAGTTTTGTTCTGAAGTCATTTTAATGTGCAGTTTTACGTCGTTCGTGTCAAAATTGCCGAATGGTGCTTTCGTGTGTACAGAAATCTCTCACTACCGTATTATTCGTGGGACCCTATCCCAGAAATTCGCCGAGTCGATCATAGTCAGTGTATAGTTCTTATCTAGACCACTTAAGGGTCACTTTTTCTTTTTTTTTATTTTTCAGTTCATCGTTAGTTGCTTAGTTATAGCTGCGCCTTAAAGCTCATTGCTACTCAGAAACGTTAACGTGTACCTATTTATCGACTTTTTTGACTGATCTTTTCAACGTTTTCCAGTTCTTTCTCAGGTTTGTCAATGCGGTTCATCTCATCAGCCAAATTAATGCAGCACTCTTTCGTTATTTGTATCGTGCAATGCGTAACAATGTATGTGTCGCAATGTCTTTAAAAGCACGGGTTGTGAGCCAATGAAGTTCTCTCAATAAAATTGCATTAAAGGACAAGGATAAAGGATAAAGCTCTCGGCTGTGATCAATCCTTGAGGGATGCGCCATGCACTCGACTTCATTAAACATCTTTCAGAGCTGACTAAATGTATATCTGGCCTTTATAATGACTCGCAGTGGCCTACCAATGCATCAAGCCAGTGCTGCTATCCTCCCAGGCAAGTCTGACACCAATTTGCCGACCCCATAGAGATGGAACGCTTGCTGAGCCATGCGCGCAGGGATCAATTCCACGTGTGTGTTGCAGGGCGCCTCGGACCACTGTGCTACGCGCGCCCGAAAAGAATTGCGTTACGGACTATAATTAACTTACACTTATTACTTACACCTTATCATTTTGGTAGAAGCGAAACAATGAAAAGTACAGAGCGCTCGCCGTAGGTCCACCCTGAGGAAGGTGTCATGCATTCGACTTCCTTCGTAGCATCGCTGAATTAATTGGTAATTAAATTCATAGCTCGTCTTTACGATCATTTACGCTAGCCTATCTATTTATCTTTCTAGTATATAATGCTGAAATATTTGCAAAACTCCGGACCGCAGGTGTATGCATGCGGTGGGGAACGAACGTGCGCTATTGTCCTTACCGTGGAGTAGCGCACTTCACCACCACACCATCCGGGTCCTTCGTTTTACCTGTCTCTCAGTTATTTTTTCAGTGTTTTTAATCCACCCAGACCAGTCTAGTACAGACTCCAGAGGGGGAGTTGATTAGTAATAGGCGTAGGATCGAATCAAGGACCGGGAGCGTAGTGTGAGCCACCTCCAAACACTTCGCTGTGCAGAAATGATAGAAAATATGCGAGAAAAACTATATACAATGAATTCAAAAGAAAAAAAGAATGCATGGACGGCTCGTCTTAATGAGTTGTGCGGAGCCCAGCAGATTTTCCATTCGTTTCGTTGCCTCCCAGTCGTCGTTCGTTGTAGTGATATTCTTCGAGCATGGTATCTTGTGCGAGTCTCATACCGTGATCTGTAAAACAACTGCACTTACGAGTACAGCTGATTGACTTTAGTCACGATCACGCTCACCCAACGTGTGGGTGGCGTCCTAGGGAACGTTTGCATTCTCGTGGAATCCACTCTACAATTCTCTTCATCTCATCTGTTGTTCGTTCTTCTCATTATGTGACCAGCCCATCTATGTTTCGCTATCGATACATATTGTTTTGGGTTTCAAAGATGGGAACGATTTCGAAGATCACACCTTCTCATTCCGGCTAGATACTGAGTATGCCGGTTATATTTCAAAAGACATCTCAAGATCTCTGTAAGTAGTGCGCAGACTTCTGACGTGGTTGAAGTATCAGTTCACGTCTCCACAGCATAACAGAGCGCTGGCAGGACCGCTGAATCGAACAGGTGAGCGCGGATTTTCGAGCCAAACGATGATTTGGTAAGGATCTTCCATCAATACGCGTGCTCTTCTCGTCCTAATCGATTGACTTCATTATCCACTATAGTATTACAATGAACAACTATGACGATACTGTGTCGCCTTGTCGAACTCCTTTTGCTATAGGTATACCAGTCGATATAAAAGCTGTATATTTGTGCTGCAGTTCCAATGACAGACAGAGTTCTTATGTAAGACTGGTCCATTCCTCGGACGACGAGTGTAGATTAGAATGCATTCCTTTCAACATTTCCAAACGCTTTTTCATAGTTGACAGAGGAGAGGACTGGGGACAGGCGGTATTCCCGACAAACCTCAATGACCCTGGACACAGTTTCGACACGGTGCGTGCATGCATCAAAATCTTTGTCGAAATCCGACTTGTTAAACTTGTTGCGCCTTATCCAATCTCCTTGATATGCGCGACAGGATAATCTTTATAAAGTACACTCTAAAAAGATACCGGACAATAATTACGAATCCGACTTTCTATTAACCTCGGCATTGATTGAATATATCTTTCTACTTCTGTTAAGCAAACACGAGGTGCTATTTTATTTCTTTATTTACGCACAAGCTAACGTTTCGGCGGATTTCGCCTTCCTCAGAGCCTGGAAGGGTTAAGCTGACAGCAATCCATTCGGCCAAACACCAAACACATTTGGTTAATAGTCGGATGTTTGCTGAACAGAAGTAGAAAGATATATTCAATAATTACGAATATTCCTTCGGGCTCCCTTCCTGGATAGGACGATCATGCGCGACATCCTCCACTGGTCTGAAACTTTTTTCCTTTTGATGGCAGGATGTCACATGGATTGAGATAATGAAAATAGGCTGATCTATCGATGGTTGAGCATTGTGACGTTACCTGGAGTGCCCATTAAACATTTCAAGATCGTTTTCAGCTCTTCGCCACAATGTGGACGATCTGTGCTTTCTAGACACCAATCCCTTTGATCGGTCTTCCTACTAGTCGACTCGGACACGGTGTTATAACCCAAATCATAAGTGAAATCAGGAACAAGAAGGACGATGTAGAAGCGTATTCGCAGAAAGTGGAAATAAGGTCGAAATGCATAGAAGGTAATCAATAATCGAAATATGTACAAAATATTTTTAAAGTATGAACAAACGAGTTAACAGCACGAAATGTAGTGTCATAGTGAAAGTTATAACGGGAAAATAATGCGGCGATTCCTCTCCTTCTAGTTTCCTTTCTTTCACAAACCTAATAACTTTATTAATCGACCACTTGTAGCCAGCGTTCAGTCAGAGACCGGATGTTCATCCGGTAAAACTTTAACAGCCGAGAATCGAAGAACTTCTACATCCATCCATACATTTTAATAAGAACTTCCACGAGTATTTGATAAAGTTCTAACACTCTACTTGAATTAAGACGCCTATGAACCGTTCTAAGCTGCAGCTAAAAGAGAAGAGCAGACGATCCTTGTCGATGGTCGGTAGGGTCTTCGTCTCGCATCGAAAAGAGGAACAACTGCGGACCATCGACAAGGATCGTCCCAATGAAGACGAAGACGTCGAAACGAACCTCGTGGAAGTTCAACAGTATAAACAAATGTTCATTATTATAGCACCGAGGTTAAATGAGGGTCGGTTTCAAAATTAAAAGAGAAGAGCTTTCCACAAACAGGTGAGAAAAAATTAGGACCACATGTGACGTTTGAGAATGAAAATCCTAAACAACACATATATACTCCAATGCCGAAGTTAATGGAAAGCCGATCGAAGGAACTGAGAGCAAAGTAATTATGCACAGTTCTCATGATCTATAAGACGGCGTATTTTTCCAAAAATGGCCGTATTCGATTCTCCTCTTTTAGGAAAAAAGGGAAGACAAGACATTTTTGTCTTTTCTTCAACGGTTCTTTCCCACGCTCTCACCACTTCCGAGGTCATTGGTGCATCTTAGCGCTCTTCGCTCTTTTGTTAGCTCTTCATCCAGTAGAACCACTTTCGTATGCCCGATTGGTTTGAAGCTTTTCATTGTGATTGCAATTATTCTGTGTCAGAGAACAGTGGGTCCTTTATATAGATGAGCAGCTACCGTAATCACAGCTTGTGGAGGACGACAGGTGGCAGCCGACAACAAAAATGCTTTTAGCAGAGCGGCTTGAACAAAAACAACAATCAACACGGTCTGAGGTAGGTGTATAATAGAAAGCGGTGACAACAAAATACCTTGGAATAGACAACTGATGACCCGGAAACTATGGCAAAAATGCCTGACTGACGGTTGAACGGGATTGCACGTGTTGTCGATGTTGCCGTAGAATTCTTACAGATGTCAAAGAGGCACTCGTATTGAGATCCTCACTAAGATTACAATGGTATTCAGTCAAATAACCAGTTTATCAAATACTTCTTATATAGGATCATGAATATGACAATTGGTTTCTGTCCTACACCAATATTTATATACCGGATTAGCTTTTTTCAAGTTGAAGTACTTATTGCATACAAAGGACGCTTGTGGCGTAGTGGTCGGAGGCGCTCTACAACACACACGTGGAATCGATTCCCGCGCCCATGGCCCACTGAGCTATCCATCCTTACGGGGTCAGCAAATTTGTACCAGACTTGTCTCGGAGGATAGAATCACTGGCTCGATACATCAGTAGGCCACCGCGAATCATTGTAAAAACCAGATATGCATTCAGTCACCTCCAAACGATGCTTAATGATGTCGAGCACATGGCGCATCGCTTAGTGAACGATCAAGCCGAGTCCTTACAAATTTATTCTTTCTCCTTTACTGCACTCAATTTCCACTGAAAATCTATGAAACCCATAGCTCTGAAAATTAAGATTTTGAAGAGTTTTGTTCTTTAGATACGTTGTCAAGTGTTAGTTATTTTTCAAATTAGTAAGCTTTGTTTCACACGAAGCATCTTTTAAGCAACAAATTTGTGTAAGACGGTTTCGGTTCGAATATTTTTATTTCAAAACCGA